TTCTTCGCGGCTCCGCAGCTACGAGGCGGCAGCCGACGACTATCGCCGAGCAGCCCGGGAGGGACCCCTTTTTTCGCCCCGTGATTTATCGAGACTCCGCCGAAAGACTATCGCCGATCTGTACGAATCATAATTTGCCAGAAATCGAATAAAAAAAAAAAACAGAGATGGTTTTATGAGTCGTATAACGAACGGATCGAGCGACTATTTCGCGGTCGGTACGCGTGTTAACCTTATTAAACTCTTCGGAGACGAATTTATCACAGCCGGAAGAAAATTATTGAATTTTCGAACGATACAGATATGACGATCTATCGATCACGCGACAAGATCTCCCGGGATTTCTCGCGGGATTTTGCGGTGAATGTTTATTCACAATAAACTGTTCGCTGTATCTTTGCCGACGATGTTTGAGCTGTAAAATGAAATTGAGCGTATGTAAACGTACACGGGGAGAAATAAAATAATTATTAAAATTATTAAAATAAAAATAAATAATTATTAAAATAAAAATAAATAATTATTAAAATAAAAATAAATAATTTCGCCATCGCAGCGAAACCATCGTTGCTGCTACATATTACGACAGCAATAAAATTTAGTCGACATAACCAAGTCAGCAAGTTATTCGTAATTAGAGCAGAAACGGTCTTGTTGCCAGGTTAGAAAATGTTCTGCCGAGTGAATGTGTCCTTAGAACAAAGTTATTTCGCTGTTAGGACAAAATGGGGTTTTCCTACACTTACTAATTTGTCTTTACAGCAAAATAATTTGTAGATTCATCAAAATAATGCAACGAATGGAAATTAGTATCCTTAACAAATCTGCTTGCTGTCCACATAGCAACTGGCAGATTTTGCTGTGTCAGCAAAGTATTTTCCTCCGTGTACACACGTGTGTCAGCATCTCTGAAGAAGTTAATGCACTTCGCGATTGCGGAGTCGTCGAAATCGCGAGATCACTTTAAAAAGCGACGTATTGACGGAGAGATGAAGAAGAACACGCATGAATGAATTGCGCGAGATCCGAAATTGTCGACTTCAAAGCACGACATTGTCGAGAAACATATTTAACGGTCGATTGACAGAAACAGTCCCTTTCTCTCTCTCTCTCTCTCTCTTACTGCTTTAATTTGTTCCTAATAAAGCTCACTTTGATCCATAAAAGCACTGTCTATTTGTCGCCGGTCTCCTTTTCGTCCGAAGCGTCGTTCATTATCGCGAGCATTTTTGCAGCATCCACCTCACGACGAAACGACTCCGTTGCTTCAATGCGGAATTGGTATCGGGTCGAGGGGAACGGCGGGTCAGACTTCCTCTTGTGGGATGCTGACGAGTCGGAAGCACGTGACGTAGTTTTTCAAACAAACCGACCGAACGCGACGAGACGAGGCCGAGCGGGATAACGCGCGGTACGTGCTCTCGGCACGTTTCTCTCTCGAGTATTTTGATAAGGCGACCGGCTCGTCGACTCGTCGGCCGTATTGTCGGCCGCCCGCGACAGGATCTCCCAGCTGGGGGATTTACATAATTAGAATGCCATTATTTTCTCAGATACCGTCGCCGCGGGTAACGCCGATTTCTGCGACACGTGCGCGGAGAAAATAGAAAACGCGTTCCCTTCACGGAACGCTTCGTTTGTCATTTGATTAATGCCGGTCCGTGTGCTGTATTAGAGCCCGATTAGATGCCCCTGGTCTTCATTAATTTTACCCGCGATATCGCGTCCATTATATAGATCGGCGCGATTCGAGCATTCGTCGCTTCTCTTGTTTCACTATTCGCGAGCACGACGCATTTTGTCTGAAGCGAACGTCATCGTTATTCAGTTTTCTCATCGAGACACCCCGAGTTAATAAATTACAATCGCTTATCCACGACCGTATCTTATCACGTCCGGAATAGATCGTCTTTATGACTTTGATCGTCACGTCCGAAGACATGAAGGGATACCGCGCTCTCCGCGATCTCCGAGGAGCGGAGATCTCGGGATAAGGGGAGGGTTTGCTCGCACTCCTGCGCGAGGAGTAACGGATCACTGGAGGTTCTTCGTTGGGCATCACGTGCCCAAGTGCTACCACGACAACGTATACCCACTTCAAGTTCCTCACGGCTCTCGCGCCAATCCGGAAACGGAAGGCGGCCCTCCCCCGGAGCCGAGGGAGCGAAGGGATGCGGAAGGCATTTAACCCTTTGTGAACCGGCACGAGGGGCAAAGACAGAAGCGGCCGGACTGAAATTCGATCGTCACCTCTTCATTGTTCCACGTGCCGGGAAAGTGTCGAGGGTGGCTTTCGTTTCAATGCCCCCCCCCTTCTCCGGCGATATTTCGCGACTCTCAAATATGTCGGTATTACGAAATTTGAGAAAATCAATTATGAAAATTATCAGTACAGTTGTAGTGTGTACTTTACATGTGTGAGAATTTGTTGATCGAAATTATAATAATAATATAATATAACAACAATATACACGGGAAAAATACTGTCGCGTCAATAGAATTGGCCAACCACATTGTAATTGGAGTAAATCTCCTTGATTTAATAGCAATATCGTTGTTAACATTATTACATTATTACATATTGTTTGTAGAATAAGTATTACACATTAAGAAATTTTGTGTTTATAACGATACATTGAAATTTTGTATTACTTTAATATGGGGAATGTGTTTAAAAGTACATAAATATAATGTTAAATTAACGCATTCATCTTGTCAACATATGTTAATGAATAATGTTAAATTAACATATTCATCTTGTTAATATACATCGACGTATGTTGACAAGGTGTACAATGTGGTGAGGAATATGTTAGTTTAATATTATATTTATTTACTTTTTAACACTTTCCTCGTGTTGAGGCAATACAAAATTTCAATGGACACTTTTTAACATAACATTTTTTACTGTATAGTTTCAATGATATTGCTGCTATTAAAGCATTCTCTCTCTCTCTCTCCCTCTCTCTCTCTTCCGTGTATAAATTATTAATCCATAACGATATATATTATGTAATACTTATGTCATAGTAATACAAATATTATTTTTTCAAAAGAGAAGCATGATAAACGCATACAAACGGCGCAGCTCGCGCGCTCGGAGATTTTTCGTTCGAGGGGGCATGCAATGTGGAAGTGTCCGACAAACAACACACAGACTGTTGTGCTCCGCGAAATCTGCCTGTGCGCAATCATTAATACGGATTACGACCAGCGTTGCGTTACACCGCATAACCTCCCCGCGATCTATTTCCGAATAATCCCCCGTGCAAACCAACAAACAGCGACAGCTGTTGACGTCTACGCAACACAGAGGATGCGAGTAGATACGTTCCGACATCGACCGGGCAAATGAGGTAATCGCGAAATAGTCGAGACATGAAAGACTCCTCAAACGGTCAGCTGGAGCTGAATGAACCTCGGAGTGCTCTTTCGGAGATCAATCGGATAAGTAAGAAAATCTGCCAGTGAATTTGCACGACGTAATGCGATTAAAGTTGTCTGGCCGAAGAACTTTTACATGATTACGCGGATTGCGTAAAACGAGTATTATTCGCTCGAGCGATTCCTATTCGAATATTGCATTATTAAGATCAGGCTATTATAAAAGTCCTGCTATAAGGTATCGATATTCTGAATGGAATTTTTATGACGGAATTTTTACAACGGAATTTCCTATTTTCACGAAAATTGTTTTTTAATATAACGGTACTATAGTGGTGAATTTTATACGATGTTAATTTCATAAAAAAATTTCACAATAATATAAATAATATTTTTTCTTCACCTAAATTCTACTGCTGCTTATTTAACTTGGTATCTTCTATTTAATATCGGATTATAGACTGCTTACTTAACTCGGTATCTTCTATTTAATATCGTACTATAGACTGATTTCCACGAAGATGAATCTTTAATACATCAGGTAACCGGTGCACAGAAATGCCAATACATTGAAAAATGAATTTGATTGGATTTACTTGATATAGACAATCAAATGCATTTCGGTTGAGGCAAACAGAATTTCTGGTTATAGGAACCAAATTTGGTTCGTGACAACCAGAAATTCCGTTTCCTTCGCCCAATACACATCTGATGTTATCCATTGTCAGATAGTTTCAATCAAAGTCATTTTTCAGTAATAAACTTCACGTGCCAATTTCGTATGATAAAATTCGTATTCTAAAATAATATTTTTTTCTCCACCTGAATTCTATCGCTACCATTAACGCGGCATCTCTTGATATTGCGGTACAGATTGATCGGCTAAGATCTATATCTGCGGTATTAAGGCCGGTGTTACCGTCGCGAGTGGAAAAGTTTCGCAGGGAACGCCAACGACAAACCTTTCCGAGCAGCCACCGAAAATATACAGGAGCGCCTTTTCCGTGCTTTGGAGCGGTTCTCTCGCGCAAATCGTTTCACCCGTTTTCATCGCCGGGGATCAGCCGAGGATCTTTCGGGATCCCCTTTGAAGACGCACCGTGCCAACGAGAAACCACCTGGTCGTGGGTCGGCTTTCACGCGCAATAAGATCGCCCCTTCAGATTAACGTGACCATTATCTCGTTAATCGGAAAAGAGTTCGACGGCCACGACGGGCCGATCTCGTACGGCGCTTTTACATGCTCGAGTATGCGTGTGCGCGTACAACTTACATTGCACGCGCTTCACCGAAAAATACATCTCTCACATTTGTTGTATCTTCAGATTTGGATAAGCGCGATTCTCTCATCTCGATGTTTCCATTTGTCCACCTCAACATTTTTTTCACATTTTCACAAGTTACAATCATTTAAGATTGATCGCGCGATATCGCAACAATTAAGGGAACAAAGTACCGTCATGATCGAAACAATCTTAAACTTGTCAACGAGCCGGCGTTATCAAAGTCCATCGAGATCAGATAAGTCGCAGATGCAAGTACGCGAAAAGGAATTACCCGAGCGGAACACCACGCCGGCAAATTACCGCTGAATTTATTAACAGTTACGTACCTGTGTTCTCACACACTTGTGTGGGAGCGTCGCGCTGGAGAGTGTGCGTGCGGTGGCGGAACAGATGCCGAGGAGAGACCCAGGGTCGCTGCTGCGGGAAGGAAAGAAAAAAAAATAGTAACAGGAAACGACGGTAGAGAGAGAGGGGGGGTCGGCAGAGGGTGGCTAATCTTACTGGCAAATATTTGGATTGTCGCATTCACCGGCATTGATACATCGAGTGGAGGAGCAGTAGCAGCTAGCTACCTCACCTCACGCGCGGGAACCCGGCGAAAGGTGAAAGGTGTGGGGAAAAACGAGCGATCGAGAGTCGCGCCGCGAGACGACCGCGTGTTTACACTGCATTTCGGCCGGGGCCATTGAAATAGCGCCGGGATATTCCGGTATTAAGATGCCGGAGATAGGCTTGTGCCGATCGCGGACCGGTACGGGAGCGAACCTCCTTCGGGATATATATCGACGATCTGGTAATACGGGAATGAGAGTCGCAGCAGCCGGCAGATGTAATTGCGAGTCGAGCCGGGGACGGGCATTTTGCTCGACTTCAAACCTCGGGTTCCTCGGGAGAATCCCGAGGATACTGCACGGTAAAAGTAATTTTCTCCTAGAAAGAGTCCGCTGAAATGTTCACTTTAACATGGGGGATATGTTGAAAAGTACACAAATGTATGTTGGATTAACGTAGTCACACGGGAATACGACACAACTAAAATTTAGTTGATTGAACGAATTTGTTTTGTCCCTAAGCTCTCAGCTAAAAACTAAGTAACTCTGGTAACTAAATTTCAGTTGTATTATAAGGACAGCTAATTATTATTTTTTTTTTTTTCGTAAACCTTAAAGTAACGCAAAACATTTTTTATACAACATTCTTTATTTGTGGATCGCGCTGCGCAGTCGGAATCGTTTTACGATGATTGGTTAGTTGAGAGTTAGTCATGTTGTTAGTGTGTTGAGATAATTGAGACAGCTAGTTGTGTTGAGATAATGTCATCCGTGATTATGACTGTTAGATAATATACGCGGAATGCGCGAAATAAAACGATACGTTCAATCGCTAAAAATCTACGATCGCGCGATCGCGCAGCTGTGACAATCATGCGAAATTTTCACGATCGAGCGGACTCGTGATGTCACGAGTTCCAGGATCTCGGATTTCGCGTCACTTGAGCGCGTTATCTGGCGACGTTATTCGCGCGTGTGCCTGAGAAGAGACTTCGCCGGTCGTCATCACAGATCGCTCGAGTTTTCTCTCAAAGCCCGCGATTCCTCCTCTTTTATAATACGATCAGCCGCGATCACCATCAGGTGAAGGGATTCCGGACGGAGTCGGGGCCGGTAATCGCGGCTACACGCGGACGACTGTCGAGCGAACTCGTTGATAATCGAGTCTCCGGTTGTACTGAATGGGATCATCGCGGTACGATGAGCACCGATCTACCTTCCTATGCCTATAAAAGTAGAGAGGAACCACGGACCGCGCGGACAGAAGAAGAGAATGAGGAAGAAGGAGAGAGAGAGAGAGAGAGAGTCTCCTACGCGCGAGACAAGGAGGATCCGGTCCAGGTTGAGCTGTCACGTGAGAATCTCACCGACGTCCTGCGTCACGACGCGTGTACGCGCATTCCGTAGGCCGGGTAGACGGCGAAACGAAGCAAGAAGAGAAAGAAAGAGAGAGAGAGAGAGGCCCGTGAGAGAGATTAGCTTCTTAACCAAATAGGTCTCAGCTTAGTATCCCTCACCCCCTGGTCCCTCCCTCGCGCAGATCGCGTCCAGCTTGTCGTCCTCCTCCTCCTCGTGACCGTCGTTGTCGTCGTTGATTTTCGGCCGTCCGAGGAGATCGCTGTGCAGGACGATACGCCGACCGGTTAATCTGTTTAGTTTAAGGCTCGTCGATCACGAAACTCCGAGAGCGTTGCGTTGCATTCCGGATTTCGGCTGATGTAGGAACCGTCCGTCGCGCATTCTTCGCAGCGCAGACGGTGCGAAGGGAGGATACGCGCGGTGATTAATTAAGCACCTGTCAATCGCGCGTCCAGCGTGTGAACAGCGGTTTGTTGGAGCCAATAGCGGCATCAACGGGCAGTCGCGGGTTCAACGGTTAAACTCACCTAATGTTCGTTCGAAAGGGACTCTCCAAGCCGAGTGGTTTAATCGGCTCTCGTAGTTTCTAGCGGAGATTGTCCGGCGGCGTATAATTCCCTCACGATTTATCCCCCGCACATACACGCGCGCACGCGACTCGACCTCGTTTCCCCGAAACACCGGGGTCTGATGGCAGGTCAAAACAAAGCGGGAAGAAGAGCGCGGAGTCTCGAAAGGCGACGCACGCGTGCGGCGACGCACCGAGGTGACTCTGATTCACAATGGAATAACACCGCGGCGTGACGTTCGTGACAGTATGATTTTGGTGTCATCGGATTGAACGAGATCGACCGATAAATACCGTTATTACGCGATAATGATTACCGCTATCCCGATGAGCACGAATTCCCCCGGCATAGAACACCGCGACAATTTTAGAGAGAAAAAAAGAAAGAGGAGAAAATGAAGCCACTCGGCATGAAAGTTTGATGACGCACGCGAGGGACGGACGGACGGACGAATCAGATCTCGGCGATCATTCGAACTTGGAAGTCATCACGAGGGTAGAGGCTGTCGTGACAAGTTCCTTTACCTTACACGACGATCTCTGAGAAAAACTGTCACTGACGTGGTCTGGCGAGTTATGGTTTCGTGACGATCGCCACGCCGAGTGTTCTTAGCTGGGTGAATCATTGATGAATTGGCGATGGGGTCGTGGGACCTCGCAGCTGCGATCGGAGTCTCTTCTTTCGCACAGAGCACTCGTGTTCCTCCTTCTTCTTCTCGCCCACCTCTCCCTCGGTCGCCCTTCCGTCGCCCATCCCCCTGAAACCCGATGTGCATTCGTCCCCCTTCCCCCCCCCCCTCTTCTGATCGCTTATGCAAAACACGACGAATTACGGCCTATTACGGTGCGGTTTACCGATATCCGCCGTCGTGTTTACATTATGCACACCGAGACTTCGGCAAATCGCTCTCCGCGAAATCCTTATCCACAACGTACCCCCTTGCGATGTATCTTAGTAACGGATGCGGTCTTTGACCCGCGCGCCGAGTTCTCTCCGTGCCACAATGCCGAGAGATAGCTATTTCAGAAAATGCACATCGCGAGGTATACTCGTCCATCGCGGGGTCTTCGTGCCGTGAATTATGCGCGTCACGGCTGTATCGTCGCTGTGTATGATTGCAGAAAAATTCGAGGTGAAACTTCGATATTAAAGAAATGCAACACACCGTCCCTACTTAAATGAGACTTTGGTTCAAAGTTAAATCGACCAGCCCTTCGATCACGTGACTTTTTCTCTTGGACGGAAGCGTGAAAAGTGAAATGTTTCCAACTGAGAAAATTTACACTTCTCACGAGTACACGCTAGAGGAGATGCTGCGTGGATTGATCGTTAAACCTTCTTCTCAAGCGTGAATTCGTGGAAAGCATAAATTTCCTAATTTGAAAACATTTCACTTTTCACGTTTCCGCTTCAGGGGAAAAGTTACATGATCAAAAGACAGATGTGATCAAATTGGTCAGATATCAAAAGTTTATAATAATCGAATAATTTTATCCTCGTTCTAATTTAAATTCGTCCAGCTAAAATCGCGCCTAACACATTCAACGGCAGTTCTTAGCGGCAGATCTTTACTCAATACTTACTTAATAATTTTAATATCCACATATTAATTAATTAATTATTTCGAATACTCGTGACTGATATTATCGATTAACCGGATAATATTAACTACGAGTATTTAAGATGTCGGTATCATCTTCTCGAGATGATGACTGTATCGGCAGCGCCGTAATTACTGTATCAGAGAGCAGCCGAGAATATCTAAGCGATATCATCGAGGCGGAGGAGCTCGATGAGACAACTGATGAACCATTCGACCGGTTGATTCAATAAATCCGTGCTGCGGAGCAGGGTTGCGCCTTACGACGACACTGACGATTAATTCGACTGAATTAATGTGAACCGCTGACACCGAGCCGCGAGGTTAAGTCATCCGGTTCAAGCCGCGTAGCGTCGACAAGCGGATTTGCCTGCACTGACGCTCTTAATTCTCCGTCGCGGAGGCAGCACCTTCGCGAAACGAGCGCAGGCAACTTGGAACGACAGAATTTGGAAAACAGCCCTATTCATATACGCTTCAATTAGGATTTCCAAAAAATTCCATTCTATCTTTGCCTTCTACATATAGATAGAACAATTTCTTGGCAGGTGCTGTTAAATTCGATCAAAACACAATCGTTCGCGCGTGTTGGCGATTCTTAACGTTGAATCCAACTAAAATCACCGGTGACTGATGTCATAATAATAATAATAGATTTTTATTTACGATAATAGAGAAACCTTTTAGTTTACAATATTGGTTAATCGCAAATTGAAAAAGACGTGTGATCTACAGGTTCGTAATAAACAAAATGATTAAATTAATTTCGAAAGAAACATAAGATATATCACCGCTTTTTAGCTAATATGATGAAATTTGTTCTCATTAAGTAACGGATAATTGATTGCATCTAAAAATCAATCGTATGACCAACAGAGGACTGATGAGACGAGGTAAAAGACCCAGGCGCCTCGAATTATATTTCTTAGCACCGTGTCTCAAATAGTTCAATCATCAGTTAAGCTGTTTTTATCATCAAGGGATGTCAACGCGGTGGTCAACGTGTTAATCGGCCCACAGAAGCGCGAATAACGAGGACACGCGGTTGAAGTGAGCTTAAAGTCACCGAAGGGAAAAACAACGAATCCCCGATCGGGGGTAATTTTCAGAATACTCCCGTAATTACCGTTCAATCGCGATTTTTCCGACGAAGACGAGCCCCGGCACGTCAGTGGAGGTATGTGACGATCGGCGTGGGCCGCGGGGCCACTTGATCGCTTATTGACCACTGTTGACTCGTGTTGACACCGCAGACCTTAGTTAGGTGGATAAATATATCGTCGAGGCGCGGGTCAAGTGGATATCTGCACCGTGTTCGCCCACGCCGGGTTCGCCCGA